TCTTAAGCCACTAGAGTTGTTACTGTAGATAGCATGTCATGCTGATTACAGCTTTACTAGTACTTTACAAAGAGGGTAATATACCGCAATATAACAAACTGCTCAATTACAACTTTATTCCTGGCTAAATTTAACACTAAGAAATAGATCTTAGAATCTCATTGATCACAAATGAATTTAATTGATCATTTGTCTAAAATGAACCATTCATTTTTTTTACCCTTTATTTTTTTCATTTTTAGGGCTCTAGGGTTAGCCTGAGAAAGGTGTTGGCTAGAGTAGTAAAATTTGTAATTTGTACATATCCCACGTCATTATTTCAATGGTATCAGTAGTACTTTATATTGAGCAAGAATATTTTTATGTATTTCTAGCTGTCATGATAAATGTTAATTATATATATATATATATATATATATATATATATATATATATATATGTAAGTGCAACATTACTGAGTCTTTTTCTTTCATCTCAGTTTTTAAAATGGCAAATAACACAATAGCCATAACTTAATTATCTATAGAATGTTTACTTTGGAGATGGAATAACTTAGCTAACAGATTAAATAACTTAGCTAACAGAAATGCTTGGGAATAAACACGATGAGGCAAGTTTTATGCACAGAATATATTTCTATTTTTCTAAGTACTTCATATATTCATAGAAATAATGGAAAATGTAACTCTGCCTAAATAATGTCATGCTCTTGTAATATAATTTAAGATGTTAAATTTAAATAAAATGACATCATTACTATGATGGTGTTATAATCAATATTAGAACAACTTTTTTTGTTTTGTTTTGTTGTGTTTTTTTTGTTTTGTTAATTCTCACATGAAGACATTTTTTCCATTCCTTTTTAGAAGTAGTTGGAGGGAAAGAGGGAGGGAGGAAGGGGGAGGAGAAAGAGAAAAAAACATTGATGTGAGAGAGACACATTGACTGGTTGCCTCTTGCACGTGACCCCGACTGGGGACGGGGAACGGACCAGCAACCCAGGTACGTGCACTTAACTGGGAATTGAACCTGAGACCCTGTGGTGTGAAGACACTCTAACCACTGAGTGCACTGGCCAGGGCTGAACAACTTTTGATAATAATGAAATTTAAAGATGCTTTCTGGTGTGGCTCAGTAAGCATGTCCTCAAGTGAGGATTACAAAAAAAATTTTTAAAGTTTCATTGAACTTTTTGCACACGCAAAATAGGTACTTTTCTTAGCTGCCATATTTTCAAATATGCATTAAGATATTTTCTTATTTGAAAATCCAGATATTGAAAAAATAAAAATATTAATATTGACTGATTTCCATTATATTATTAAAAATACCTGAATTTGTGATTAAGTTGCAAGTTGAAGGCATTAAGGAACCTGAGACTAAAATTCTTACTGGGAAAGAGACTTATTCTGATACTAGTGGCCCGGAAATTAATTAGAAGAAATATTTTAATATCGCTATTCACCCTTTCTCTATAATAGAAGTGTCAACCAAATTCATGATCGACAATGACAGATCAAAACATATGCGTGTGATTGGTGCCAGAGAGAACTTTATATGTATCATGCATGCGCAAGTCAACTTAGTTTTTGATATTTATATACAGAATAAACTTGCTTAATTAGACCTGCTTTCTGATTTAGCTAAACTTTTTCCAGCCCAGTGAAGCACCCCAACTTCTCTTTCAGGTAATTGTCAGCAACACAGCAGTAAATATCAACACGAAGCAGATTATTATTGTAGATCACACAGGGAGAACAAAGGGTAAAATATTTAACTGCAGCAGTGTTTGACTATATTCTGCACAGTGAGAAAGCCTGAAGTCATTTTCAAGGGGCACCATTTCTTACTTCTTTTCAGTCGGGTCAAGTTTCTAAGCTTTCAAAATCTCCGTTTTCTGGCTAATGAAAAGAAAATAGGATTCCATCGAGTCTCCTATCTACCTACTCTAGGGCTTCTGTGAGGATCAAATGAGGTAAGGCATGGGAAAATGCTTCACAGACATTTGGTTAAACTGTGAAATGTTTGTACCTGGCTATAAAGCAAGTCATGTTCCTGGGCTGAAGAAACTCCAAGGAGGCTAGTTGCTAGGGAGAGGAAGCTGGGCGTTGCTATATGATGTCATTACCCGGCACCCACAGCAACAGTTTCTGGACTGGGCTGGGTTGTGGGCTGCATTTTGCACCATGGGGTCTTGGCAGTGTTGGCTGCGATTTGGTGGGCTGTTGCTTTGTTGGTGCCAGGTCCATGGGGCTGTTTCTCTATAAATGGCCAGTGTGCGTCACGGCAGCTCCTGCATTGAGCGTCTGCCCCCTGGTGGTCAGTGCACATCATAGTGACCGGTTGGATGGTCGGACACTTAGCATATTAGCCTTTTATATATATATATATAGATATCCTTCAAATGCATTGGTGAAAATAAACACATACTCATCAATTGATTAAAATACAAGTCTGAAATTACTGTGTTCTTAAAAGAAGGTATGTATTTGTATCAAAATAATTTTTACTATAATTGAGAAAAGAGGTGCCTGTGGAGAGCAGCTACAGTGTTTGGACAGGTTCAAGCCTCGGACTAATGAGAGGGCATGGTCTTCTCGCGGCAAAGCCATGTGCAGGTCCCAGCTCGGAGGACAAAGCCCTCCCAGCACAATTCTAGCCAAAGGCTATGGCTGTAGGCTTGACCTTATGGTCCAAACCTGTGGTTCCAGGTGGCTGAGTTATGTGGGCTGTGGGAGGTGCAGCAAATGCTGCCAAAACAAAGGTTGATAGAGTTCTCAGGTGCATGTAATTAAGTAGATTCGGAACTCGGGAGAACATTGTAAACATCTTGACCACACCCTTGCTTTGCCTCGTGGGATCTGACTATAAAATAAAGACTTGGCTTACAGGCTGGGGCACTGTCTCCCCATCTGAGAACATTTCCAGTGTCCCAGCTGGCCCCAACTGTATTCTTTTGTCTGTCTTCTTTAATCCTTCACCGCCCCTCCTCAGGTTCACCCCTGGCCGTGCTGGATGCGGTTCAGGTGCCATTGGGTATGAAGGGAAAGTAATAAAAACATTTATTTTGAAGTCATGTGTTAGATTTCAAGGTCATCTGTTATAGAAAATACTGTATTTCAGGTAGTGTCAGGGGAACAGGGATGGGGTCAATTCCTGATCCTCTTTTTTTAAGGCCCCAACACCCCAGTGTCCATGTCCATTGGTTATGCTAATATGCATGCATACAAGTCCTTTGGTTGATCTGTTACATCTCCTCCCCCACCCTCCCCTGCCTTCTCTCTGAGGTTTGACAGTCCATTCAGTGCTTCTCTGTCTCTGGATCCATTTTTGTTCATCAGTCTATGTTGTTCATCATATTCCACAAACGAGTGAGATCATGTGATATTTATCTTTCTCCAACTGGCTTATTTCACTTAACATAATGCTCTCCAGGTCCATCCATGCTGTTGCAAATAGTAAGAGAGTTCTTTCTATTTTACAACAGCATAGTATTCCATTGTGTAGATGTACCACAGTTTTTTAATCCACTCATCTGCTGATGGGCACTTAGGCTATTTCCAAATCTTAGCTATGGTAAACTGTGCTGCTAGGAACATAGGGGTGCATCTGATCCTCATTCTTTATGTAAGACGATAGGAAGTTTCCAATTTCTTAGATTTGCAGATCATTTATTCAGTTAATGAAAATGTATTGACTCTTTAGAGTGTGCCAGGTATTCTGCTGGGTGTGCCCTAGTAAAAGGAAATTTCCCACCTTCAGGAAATCCCATCCATATTTATATTTAAGGTACTTAACCAAAAGCTGGCATATAGTAAGTGCTCACCAAAAAAGAGCTATTAATGTTCTATGACATCCTCTATAGGTATTTTTCATCTACTGAGAAACAGAATTTAAAATTTCTTTATTTATAAGTATAATGACAACTAGCCCATGTATATGTATTGAATATATTAGGAACAGCACAGTTTAATAAAATGAGCAGAACAGAATTATATGGCAACTCCCTATACTATAAACATGAATGCTTTCAAGTTAACTAGATTTCTCTTGTGATAAAATGTTATTATTCTTCTCAAACACTTTTAAACACGAAAAAGCGATCAGAAAAAAAACATTTTTTGTTGTGGAATTGCTCAGATTCTGTAATTTATTATTTATAAATTAACTATTATAAAGTTTGGAATCCAACTACGTATTTCATAGAACCTTCTGAAAGTAGGTTAAAGTAGTATAATCTCTTTTAGAAATTAAACTCAACATTCAGATTGTTTCTTGGCAAGTATTATATCTAGAGTTGTGCTACTCAATATGATAGCCCTTAGACGAGGCTACTTAAACCTAACATGATTTAGTGAAGAATTCCCAGGCATACTAGCTACATTTCCAGTGCTCAGTAGCCCTCTGTGGCAAGTGCATATTGGACAGTGATGCTATAGAACATTTCCATCACCACAGATAGTTCTCTTGGATAGTGTTGCTCTAGGACAGTGATGGCGAACCTTTTGAGCTCGGCGTGTCAGCATTTTGAAAAACCCTAACTTAACTCTGGTGCCGTGTCACATATAGAAATTTTTTGATATTTGCAACCATAGTAAAACAAAGACTTATATTTTTGATATTCATTTTATATATTTAAATGCCATTTAACAAAGAAAAATCAACCAAAAAAATGAGTTCGCGTGTCACCTCTGACACGTGTGTCATAGGTTCGCCATCACTGCTCTAGGATCATTTAAGTAAGGGAATATTTGCTGCCTGATATATACTACTTACAATTAGGACTACATGGAAATAAACTGTTACATTTGGTTTTGCTCATTCCAGTCTTTTCACCACATCTTCCAAATCTTGATTAAATTATTTGGCAAGGACTTTGACAGATAAGGGCTACTTTCAATTCATTAAAAGGAATAACTAAAGGCTCGGGAAATGAAGGGCTTTTACTCAGTGACTTTTGGGAAACTGGGATTTTGAATATTGTCTAAAAGAAATGGCTAATGAGTGCTATCAATGCTTTCTCTGCAGCGCCTTCCAAGCCTTTTTTCCTGACTGCTCCGCCATTCTACTCAGCCTGCTGCGGTGGGTCCTGTCGGCGCCCCGCATCCCCCACTGTTTTTCCAAGTAAGTTTTTATGCCTCATCAGCAATGCCTCAGTTATTCTGTAAACCGAAGCAGCAGGATTTAATGTGCTCTGGAAAACCAATTGGTAATGCAATGGCAAGGAGCTAATTCCTCACTAAAAATCACAGCGATCCTATTCAGGAGGCTCCCAGAGATTTATCAAACCTCAGCACACTGAGCAATTGTGAGCAGTTTCTAATGGCATTGAAACCCAGGGCCGACACTCCAAGGAAAGGGACTTGTTTTCCATTGGATATAAAAGATCTCAGAGGAACCACTTTGGCTCATTCTGAAATGTGTAGCAATACCCATTTAAAGAAGAAAAAAAGGAAGGCTAAGAAATTGTGCTGTGCAAAATTTCCATTCAGCTTAAAATGTGACACAGAAAGCCACTAGGTGTCCATAGAAAAGAATTTAAAATCGTTAAGATTGTACAAAGAAAGAAATTCCTCCTCTTCGTAATCTTGAAGAAAACCAACCAGCCTCATAGGACATATTTGCAAGAGAACTTGTCCTCAAACATTACAAAATTTCAATCAATTTCAGGGGTGGAGCGAGAATGACAGCTTCCAAAAACTTAAAGAGTGTGTACACACACGCAAAGGAAAAATGGCTCCCTGAAAGTCAATCGAGTTCACCTTGGTCTTAGATTTCTAAACTAGATAGGAATCTGGAGGCAGAGAATTCGAGTTTATGATAAAGAAGTCCAGGGGAGGAGTGCGTTTATTGCAGCTGCCCAAGGTAAACATTTATGCAGGTTCACCACTCTGTCGGGTGAAAAGTGAAATAAGAGTTGAGTCGGGCCAAAGTCAGAGCTCCATCATGGCTGAATTCAGATCCCTGCCGCCTCTCTGCGTGTGTTTTATGAATGTTTCAGCAGAGCCGTTGCTCAACAGAATGATTCCTGACAAGTGAGGCAGCAAATGCTGGCCGTTTAATGAGCTGCAAGCTTCTGAGCAGCTCTTTAGGGGGCCGACACTTTCCCACAGAGCCCTCCACAGGGCTGGGACCCAGCCACAATGGGCGACAGACCCGTGACCAATCGTCACTTTCACTTGACTCATCCACACGCGACCTCACCACGATTTTTCACTGTGCGGATGAACTTTAGGAACCATTTCACACGGAAAAGGCTTGGGCAAGGGTCAGTTGCCCTTTTGTATGGTCATAAAGCCAGGCTCTGTGTGCCAGTCTTTTCTCCTGTCTCACATTCCAAGTGAATTTCTGGACACCATTTAAGGCACTTGACTGAAAAAATAAAGCAGTGAATGAAACTGACTTTTATAGACTCATTCTAGCTCATCTTCCCATATAACCCTGTCCACCTGAAAGGGGATTTAGTGGATGAGCTGAGTGCATGCAGGACTTGCTGAATACATAGGGCCCATTATCAACTGTGGGGATTGTTTATTAACCAGGACTGATGCACTACTATTTTGAAAGTGACCTATTAATTGTCCATTTAACTAGAGTGTATTGATTCAAATAGAAAAATAGAAACCATGACTAAACCTTTTACTCGCTCCTTCAAGGTGGTCTCCCATGAGGGCAATTGAAAACTGTTGTGCAAATTAAGGAGACATTTATCACCATATATTTGAGTATCAGGAAAAGACCAGTGGAGCAGAGACTAAAAACCCAAATACCTGATACCCTAGCACAGTGGCATCTCCGTGGAATTAAATCTTTGGTGTTGCATTCCAGGGGTGGAGATTAAAAAAGGTCCCATGCCTAGTTTCAGTTACTTCACCTTGATGGAACACTGGTCTTCTGCTTTAGAAAACCTCTGTCAAAGGAGTTTAACTAAGTGGAAATGGACCAAAAAATTCTGTGCAACAGGTGGACATTCGTGTATGTGTCAGTGGATGTTTGTATTCATTCTCTAGGAGTGTTTTATTAATAAGAGTCTTTATTTTTTAAAAATATATTTTATTGATTTTTTACAGAGAGGAAGGGAGAGGGATAGAGAGTTAGAAACATCGATGAGAGAGAAACATTGATCAGCTGCCTCCTGCACACCCCCTACTGGGGACATGCCCGCAACCAAGGTACATGCCCTTGACCGGAATCAAACCTGGGACCTTTCAGTCTGCAGGCCGACGCTCTATCCACTGAGCCAAACCGGTGAGCGCTAATAAGAGTCTTTAAATCATGAAAGTACTCTAGTGCCCAGGCCTGTTTAATAAAAAGAGCACATAGAAACTGTTCTAAAGACAGTTCCTAGATAACTTCATCTTCTCAATGGCTTGAACATTTACTTCAAGCAAGTTTGATTTTCTTCCATCTGCTTCTCAGTTCTCCCCACTTTATGCTTTCGGTGTCACTGTTGTAAATTGTGTTGATCTCTGGGGGCTTATAAGTCTCTTGTTTATCTTTTTTTTATTTAATAAAGCAGCTGAGATTGAGGATAGAGAATGCTGCACTGGGTTTGTTTTTATTTCTAAAGTTGCATTTTAAAGCAGTTTAGAGATGCCACAACTGTTTTTAAATAACCTTTGGTGTCTCATTAGTTATAAATCTGAAATGAATTCCTTATTTTCTTGCTTATAATGTTCATTGTATTGGCAGCAAATAATAATGAAATGGTGGATTTATGTTGTCAATAAAGACTTTTACATAAATAACCATGATGCCAAGGAGCAGTTAATAAGGCTTATGTCTGCACAGTAATCATTTTTATTTAAGGCATTTACTAGATCCCCCCGATTTTTTTCTCTTTTTAATAATAAGAACGCTTTTTATGCCCAAGCATTTAAATTTTTCCATTGTACAAAAGGAGGAAAATGAACTGTCCAAATAATCTCATATTGTGTTTCAGGTTGGACAGCCAAATTTAAGGTTTATACTAAAATGTTTAGTAAGCGATGAAATCAACAGCCCTCATTATTGTTTCACAGTATTAACTTCACTATTTCCCAAAGTGTAGGATCAGATCAACACACCCATAACTAGCAAGTGAAATATCATTTTGACTCTTTTAACATGACTCGGTTGTTTATAGTTGATTTAGTTTTTCTTGTTAACTTTTAGATTTATGATCGACTCGTAGCAATGTGGAAACAATCATTCATCCAGCGCCCTTCCCACATATAATAAATAGTTTAATAGGCTATTTAAGCACAACCCTTACAGTGGGGGAAAATTAAAAGGCAGCAGTAAAAGTTCTCCCCTCCCTCAAAGCAGTGTAAGGAAAATCTTTGATATTACATCCATAAGGTTCTTTTAAAAAATAACACATTTCTCAGCTAAAAGGAAATGGAAAGTTTTGGAAATTATGCAGAGAATGACCTTCAGAAAAACTACCTGAAAAAAGTTCAGGGAGTCTTAATTATGTAGGATAGCTAATTGAATTCATCAGATAATTATTTCGTTTTGTCTTTGAGTACCCAACTTGAACTTGACCTTTTTAGAATTTTTTGCATTAGAAGACAAAGTTTAAATGTGGAGCAGCAGTGTAAAAATATGCGCAGGGAAAAATATTCTGGGACAAGCTGCTCTGCCTTTCTTATTGGGAGATGACCTTCATTGTCTCTCTTTGAGATCATTTTACTCCCTTCCCTTCTTTGTTAAAACTTAAAAGAACATAATACACTCTCCAAGTTTGAATTTAGGACTTTGTGGAAGGCAGCAGGGAAGGGACATTGCTGTTATTGTGCATGTAGCTTGGTCCTGTGAGTGCTGCTGTCAATGAGGGTTAATGCTCTGGTTAGTATTCTTTAATTTTTAAATCCTCATCTGAGGATATGTTTTTTATTGATTTTAGAGAGAGGCAGGGAGAGAGAGAGAGAGAGAGAGAGAGAGAAAGAGAAACATTGATGTGAGAGAGAAACATCCATAAGCTGCCTCCCTTATTCACTCTGACCGGGGATCCAACCCACAACCTAGGTATGTACCCAGACTGGGAATCGAACCACAAGCTTTTGGTGTATGAGACCACGCTTCAGCCAATTGAGCCACCTGGCCAGGCTCTGGTTAGTATCCTTGCCACCTGACTTGGCTGTGCTCAAAGCTGGAGTGGCTGCAGAAACCGACAAGGCCTGTGGAAGTCCATTCAAGGCTGCATAAAAATTTCTTTTGTAAAGATTTCTCTTTAGCACTCTGATATCTTCAGAGGGATGCAGCATTGTGTTCAAATAGGGAAGGAAGCCTAATTATTTTGTTGAGAACATAATTGAGTTTGTGCAATAAGTTGAATGTAGGTTTTGACTTCTTGGTAGTGACGGGACGGGTGCTCCATGGATAAATGACACTCGGTCAACCAGGAGGAATGTTTAAAGGAGACAGAGACTCAAAGACAATAGATTTTCCAAGTTGATGGCTCTATTCAGCGTTTCTACAGAGGCAGTGAAAGCATATGAGTAATGTTCCTGAAATGGAGTTCTCTTCTCCCTAAATGTTCATAAGTATTGGGGGGGGGGTATGTGGGAGGGGAACTAGTTAGTAGTATAGTATGCTTGTTCTTGACCTTGTCTATAGCCCTTGCCTGAACATAAAATCTAACAGGGCAGTGAATAAAAGTCCCGATTTTAGATTTCCCCAACTAATGCACAAATACAGAACAGGGGAGCGAGATAATTGGGCGGATAGAACAAAGTAGGGGAGGGTTGTACTTATAGCTAGGTGTGTGTCTACAGAATGATGTGGGGATGTTGGATTGTGCTTTTGGAAGTAGACTATCCAGAACAAAGGGAGATAATAGTCCTGTTGGACTCCGTAATGGTCAGATTGCTTACATCTATTCAGTTCTGCAGGTCCACGTTAAAAGGCACATGGAACAGATTTGCATATAAAAACCAGGTCAGGAGGTAGTCAGCAACTAAAATGGTGAAAGAGCTATATGCCTGGTCAGGAATTTTTTAAAGCAATTGAATATGTTTGGCCTGGAGAAGAGAAATAATAGAATATGAAGTTATCTTTAAGTTAGATATATTGTATTTATTACAGATATCAAGGAAAGCTTTGGGACTGAGTAGAATTTAATGGAAATTGAATTTGGGCTG